ATTAGATGTTTAGGACAGGGTCACACTGTAAGGTTTGTTCTCTGAATTTTTTCCTAGTGTCTCTGATCACCTCCCAAATATTTTTCATCCATTTACTTGTTAATTTTTTTTTTATATAAAGTCCCTGCTCTGTGTTGGGCTAACCTGTCAGGTACAAGCCAGACACCCATCAAGTTTTCAGAGAAGAAAGAGACAACTGAATATTCAACTAGTTGCTGGAATTTTATGGAGAAAGTGGATTTCTAGTGGAGCCTAATAAAATGAGTGAAGTTGAACAGGTAGAGCGAATTGGGTGCATATTACCTGAATGGGACTTAAGCAAGAGAAAAAGCACCATCATTTAGTAGAGATAGTAGTAAGACCAGCCTCTCTGGACCCTTTCTCTTTCTCTCCCTCCCATTTTTCATTCTTTCCATGCAGATTTAGTAGAGGAGTAGAGAGAGCATTGTCAGCTGGGCAGCATTCTGTGCACACTATTCACTTTAGAACCTGCTTTGGCTCTTACGGATGGAAGAACTTGTCCCTTCTTTCCAATTATGCCTCTGTTCTGCTTCACACCACCCTCCTAGAGCACGAGAAGCAGACCTTTTACTTCTTTTATAGCTCTGCACTGCTCACTTTGAATGCTTTATTCCTAGTACACACCCAATAAATGCAGTTAAATAATAAAACTTCTCTTTTAAATTTGTAGTGACCCTGCTTCAAGCTAGGGTGAGGCTGACTGCTAGAGAGGCTTGGGGCTACAGGTTGTATTATTATCCTGGAGAAACAGGCAGAGAGCCTAGCATGTGTTCTTTCTTTAAAACGTGGCTTACGGGGGAAGCGTATAGCTCAACTGGTCGAGCGCATGCTCAGCACACAAGAGGTTCTGGGTTTAATCCCGGTACCTCCTCCAAGCGGAAATCAATGAAAAACGTGGCTTAGCAGTGGCTAAGATGGTGGAGTAGAAGGACGCTCGCAGCTCACCCTCTCTCACGAATACACCAAGAGTGACATCCACGGACCCACCCGCCCACTCAGAACTCCTGCTGAACTTTGACAGAACATCACCTTCTTCGAAGGCAAAATTTGCCACAAATTTGGTAAGAGAAAAGGGAAAGAGAAAGAAGAAAAACGAAAACAGTGCGGGACGGGTCTCGCGGGGAGGGAGCGGCAAAGGAGGAATAGCGCTGGGTCTCCCCCTCTCCAACGGAGACGCCAGAGGGTCGGAGGGGGAGCCTTCGCGGCTCGGATCTGTGTGGAAGAGCCCTTGACAGACAGAACTAAGTTAAACGGCGCAAAGGGTCCCTGGGACCCCTCAGCCCTAGACGTGAACCCGCAGGGCTGGGACAGGACAGGCTGCCTGACTCGGGCTGGCGGTACAGAGGCAGCTTCGGGGGGCTGCAGGGTGCTGTGGACCGTGGCTGGGAGGGTTTACAGAGCTGAACAACCTGGGGCCCCCATAAAATACGAAAAAAAAGCAAAGCAACACGGCTGGTGTGCCCTGGGCGGAGGGGCTCTGTAACCTTTGTCTCCTCAGACCCCCGGCGCCATTACTGGCGGGGCTCAGCACAGCCACCATATTGTCTGGGACGCGGCTCCCAGGCGGGGGTGGGGTGGAAACCTGAACGCGTACCTGGGGCTCCGCAACCTCACAGGCGGGACTGAGGTTTGTTGACAGCCCCAGGGAGAGGGGAACATTCTGCCCTGGTGCCTCTGTGAACTTGCGCCTCTAAGACAAATGAACAAGCAGCGGAGTTCTGGCGCGCTGTGGAGGGGCTGGTGTGGGCTGGTGCGGCCGTTTTCTCCAACCCTGCCTATCAAGTGTGGAGCTGGGCAGGGAGCAGCACTGAACTGGGGAGCGACCCACCCACCCACCGTACAGGAGCATGGTGCAGGACATGGCATTGGGACAGTACGTGACCTGTCCGCCTACTGACGCTGGAGCATGGTACTGGGAGCAGCACAGACCACGGGCCCGGCCGGAGGGTCTCTGGAACCACTGAGCCAAGTTCACGCAGCAGGACCAGGGCAGGAGCGGCAACAACCACAGAACAAAAAGGAGGCCCTGCTCAATGGCCAGGACGGGCTCTGGCCACCACATCACCGGCCACACCCCCAACCAAAGGGATAACAGCCAAAATGCACGGAAGGAAGACTTGGCAATCACCCATACTTAAAAAGGACGTCACAACAGACTTATTATGAGTGCACAGTCTACACAAGAACAAATGCTTCTTTTTATTTTAATTTTTAATTAAAATTTTTTAATTCTTTTTCTAATCTTGAAATTTTCTTTAAAAAGTTTAAAATTAATTTTTTAAAAATTTGTCTCAAGTTGATCTATAGTTCTCTTTGTTTCTTTCTTCTGGTATTGATTATACACTGTTCTCAAAATCTTTTTTCTTTTAAAAATTTGTCTCAATTTGATTTTTATTTCTCTTTATCTTGTCCTATACTGTTTTCAAATCTTTTTTCTTCTTTTAAATTAAAAAATTTTTTTTTTTCGGTGGTGGTGGTGTTTTGTTTTGGTTTTGGCTTTTTTAGTTTGTTTTTTTTTTTTTTTTTAGTTTTACTTCCACATCTGCTTTAAATAAGTAAATAAAATAAATAAACCCCTTCAGGACTGAAAGTGAGATTGATTGTGAGAGAATGGAAAAAGATACTCCATGCAAATGGGAATGAAAAGAAAGCAGGAGTAACAATACTGATTTCAGACAAAACAGACTTTAAAACAAAGGCCATAGAAGAACACACAATGGAGTAAAGACAGTCTCTCCAGCAAATGGTGTTGGGAAAACTGGACAGCAACATGTAAATCAGTGAAGTTAGAATACTCCCTCACACCACACACACAAAAAAACCCTCAAAATGGATTTAAGACTTAAATATAAGACAAGACACAGTAAACCTTCTAGAAGAAAACATAGGCAAAACATTATCTCACATACATCTCAGCATTGTTTTCCTAGGGCAGTCTACCCAAGCAATAGAAATAAAAGCAAAATAAACAAATGGGACCTAATTAAACTTACAAGCTTTTGTACAGCAAAGGAAATTGTAAGCAAAACAACAACCTACAGAATGGGAGAAAATATTTGCAAAAGATGAAACTGAGAAGGGCTTGATTTCTAGAATGTATAAATAGCTCATATGACTTAATAAGAAAAAACAAACAACCCAATCCAAAAATGGGCAGAAGACCTAAACAAGCAATTCTCCAATGAAGTAACATACAGATGACCAACAGGTACATGAAAAAGTGCTCAGTATCACTAACTATCAGAGAAATGCAAATCAAAACTACAATGAAGTATCACCTCACACCAGTCAGAATGGCCATCATTCAAAAGTCCACAAATGATAAATGCTGGAGAGGCTGTGGTGGGAATGCAGTTTGGTGCAACTATTGTGGAAAACAGTATGGAGATTCTTCAAAAGACCAAAAATAGATTTACCATATGATCCAGCAATCCCTCTCCTGGGCATATATCCAGAGGGAACCCTAATACAAAAAGAAACCTGCACCCCAATGTTCATAGCAACACTATTTACAATAGCCAAGACATGGAAGTAAACTAAATGTCCATCGACAGATGACTGGATAAAGAAGTTGTGGTATATTTATACAATGGACTATTACTCAGCCATAAAAAATAATAAAATAATGCCATTTGCAGCAACATGGATGGCCCTGGAGAATGTCATTCTAAGTGAAGTAAGCTGGAAGGAGAAAGAAAAATACCATATGGTATCACTCATATGTGGAATAAAAAAAGAAGACAAATGAACTTATGTATGGAACAGAAACAGACTCACAGACATAGAAAACAAACTTATGGTTACCGGGGGGAAGGGGGTGGGAAAGGATAAATTTGGAGTTCGAGATTTGCAGATACTGACTGGTATATATGAAATAAATAAACAAGCTTATACTGTATATAGCACAGGGAACTATATTCAATATCTTATAGTAGCTTATGGTGAAAAAGAATATGAAAATGAATATATGTATATTCTTGTATGACTGAAGCAATGTGCTGTACACCAGAAATTGACACAACATTGTAAACTGACTATAGTTCAACAAAAAAAAGAACATAAAAAAGTGGCTTAAACAATAATAACAGAAGTAATCTGTGCTCCTTTCTGAAGATTAACAAAATACAAGTCAGCAGAGGAAAACAAAAACCATCTAGATTCTCACTGTCTGGTAATCACCACTGTTAATATTTTGGTACATATTCTTCTAGTCCTTGATCCATTTATATGACACACATGTATTTATAAAGTTAGTCTCATGCAGTTAATTTGGTTTTTTTTTCTTAATTGTGCTAAAAACACATGACAAAATTTACTGTAATAACCATTTTAAGTATGCAGTTCAGTAGCATTAATCATATTCATGGTGTTGTGGAACAGATCTCCAGAACTTCATCTTCTAAATCTGAAACTCCATCCCCATTAAACTTAATTTTACTTAATGACACATCACACATCTTGCCATAATACCAAATACTCCATGATATTGAATATTCTCCTTTAACACAATTTTAATGAGTATATATCTTTCCATCACCATAGTTTAAAAAAACTAAATCCTTATTGCTGGGTATTTAGATTATTTCTGATTTGTCACCACTATGCACCATGCTACAGTGAATATTTTAGCATATTTTATACATATATCTTTGTACACTTGTTTTAATACTTCCTTATAATGAGCTCTCAGGTGTGGAATTAATGACTCCAAAGAGATACACATTTTCAATATCCTCGATGTGAGTTTGAGTTTGGATGTGAGTGATGGCACCAATTTGTACTCCTATCAGTAGAATGCAAAGGCCCATTTTCCCAGTTCTTGCCAGAAATGGGTATTATCATCCAGCATCTTTTCTTTTGAGACTTTAGTTAGTTCTGAAATGAGCCTCCTAGCATTAGCAATGGCTCTCAGGTGTCACTCTAACACACACATAATTCTGAATAAGCTCAAATCAGATGTAGATTTGATACTCACGTACCTCTACAAACAAGATTGGGAAGATGCCCACTTTATCTCCTAGCTTTCCTTCTGCCCAGTTCTCATCCACTCGGCTGATCACAGTGATGATATCATCCTGAAAGAAAGAAAGTCCTCTGGTCAGCATTTACTTTCAGTTTTCAGGTGGTGAAAACGTTTGGTAGAGATCAACTTAGAGTCCCAAATGGTGTAAATTGCAAGGAATGGAGCTCTTCCACGATTTATTACAAAATTTTCCACTGAAATAATCTTTCTCCATAAAAGGCAGTATCTGGGTCACCAAGACCCAAAGAGGAGTAGAAATAATTTGGAGGATCCATGAAATCCAACAGGAAAATAGAAATGTCTCTCATTTTCCATCACCAGCAGAATCTGGGCTTTTCACTTAAATTAACCTGATGGGGAATTCAAGATAGAAGCCATAAGGAGACAGACTCTTGGAAGAATGAATTGTATTCTAATGTTGAACAGTTTTCAGAACCTGTTCAATTTTTAATGCATCAAAATTAAGTGGCTTTCTATTCAAATCTTTCTTGTTATCAAAGGTTACATGTAGATTTGTAGAAAAGTTTAGAAATACAGGTAAGCAAAGCAAAGAAAGAAATCCTATCACAATCTAGATACAACCACTGTTAACATCTTGGTTAACATATTTTTTCCCAGATTCTTTTCTATGAAGATAAAACATATAAACACACTAATTAAAAATTTTTTCCAGAAACACATGTCCATGTATATAATAAAGTATATACATTTTAGATGAATTTTTCAAATAGAATATATCCATGAAACCCCCACCCAGAGTAAGAGATGTAAAGCATTTCAAGCATCCGGGTGGCTCTTTTGTGCTCTTTCCTTCCTCCTAGCAAGAGGTAACATACAAATGAAGTCATACAGGACACATTGATTGTTCCCTTAATATCATACCTTTCCACTTCCATACTTTCTCAGCAATCTAAACCTGAATATTATCCATTGATCTGTCTGATCTATGCACCTCAGTAATGTGGATGAATCCAAATCTAAATCCATTACTGCATTATACCTTTTCTTACCTTTCTATGTCCTTATGACAACTCACAGTTAGTTACACATTTACAGGTAATAATTTCTTTGATGCCTGTCCACCCCATCAGAACTTAAACTCCATGCATGCAGGGCCTGCATCTGTTTTGTTCATTTCTGTGTCCCTAGTACCTTATGCAGGGCCTTCCCTTTAGTAGTCAACCATTCAGTATATTTCTTCCTTTCTCTGTTTTTTAAAAATTTTTTATTGAGGTAGAGTTGATGTACAATATTATATAAGTTTTAGATGTACAACATAGTGATTCACAAATTTTAAACAATATTTCTTGAATGCATGCATGCGTGAATGAATAAATGAATGTGCAAATAAATTGTACAACTGACTGAGATAGAAGACGCTAGGAAAAGAATAGCTTCAAGAGGGCAGATCTTGAGTTTTACTTGGACATGCTGAGTTGAGGAAGACCGTGAGATTCCTAGCGTAGTCTTGGCCTTCCATAGCCCTCCAGAAGGGATCAGGTCTTCTCTTCTGGTTCCTTTACCATAATTTCCTATTTGCATGTCTTTCTTCCACTAGACTGCTGGGCTCCATGAAGATAGGGGACTATCACTCATCACTTTATCCCCAGCAGACAGCTTGGCACATGGATGGACTCAGTGAATGAAGAAGCAGGTGAGGTAAGTGTCCTGGTTTACAGATTCCCAGAGAGGGGCCAAAAAGCAGATCACACACCTGCTGGTGTCATCCGGTTGTGTCCCTAGAGCACAGTGTCTAGTGCCTGGCATGAAGTAAATACTCAATAAATGCTTGTCGAATTGAACTGCCCTCCTCCAGCTGTAGTCAGAGCATGAAATTTGCAGCTGGGCTACAGAATAACATTCCTTAGGGGACTCACTCCAAGGTGCCAAGACAATAACGAAGATCAGGGTTTCAGAATATGGAGGGCAGTGAGGTTATCTGATCTGAGGATCTGAAGTAAATCTCATTTCAGGTAGTGATGGAATAAAAATGTTTTACAAAACAAAAGACCTTTCCTGAGCTACTGTAGCAGTACCACTTCTTGTGCTTGTAATTGACCTACTTATTGTAAGTAGCATAGGCTAAAAGCACCACAACTTTGGTTTCTATGGGAGAATGAAAATGTTTAGGGAATGATAAATACTGAATACAGAGACTTAAGGTACAGTCTGCCCCTCATACCCACGAACTCTGTGTCCTCAGGATTCAGTGTGTCCTGGAATCAGTCCCCTTTGGACGTTGAGGATCGTTGAAGTCTAGACTTCAGTAGACTTGTCATTACTTGCAAATGGTGACGAGTCATCCAATGAAAAAGAGACGGGAACAATATTGGGGTAACTCATGTGCTTGGAAAATGTATCTTGTAAGAAGTTATTTATGTATAAAGATATAATTATGATATTGTGCATGTTTGGAATGTTTTGAATGCAATGTTTTCAACAAAATAGAATGCTGTCAGTGAGTAGAACTAGGTGATCAGAACGTGGTCAGCAAGAATACTCTTACAGATAGATACACGATGAAGAGGTAAGAGCTGCCGTTCTGCACAGCAGGCTATTAAACTGTGTTTGTAATTTCCTGTCTAAGTATCTGTTTCTCCCACTACTCTGCCTGAGGGCAGGTGCTGTGGCTTGTTCATGCTTCCTCCCCATGTCTGCAAAAACCAGGTGCTCAAGAGCAATAGTAGAATGAATGAATGAGGGTGTGAATACTTATTTTTGTAATTGCAATAGAAAAGGCTTGTGGGCTTCCATCAGACTCCTATTAGATTTCTCTGGTGACTTCACTTTCATGTAGTTTGAATTATACAAACGTATTACCTGTATATGCACACATATATACATTTATGTATAAAATATAATTTTAAAAAATCAGCGAATATGAAACAAACAACTCCAGGTTCTGCCATGGTCTTTATGTGGTCATGTGACTCCGGTGGCTGTCTAAACCCTTACCTTGAGGAAGGACAGGCAGTCCTGGCTCTCAGTCTTGTCCTTGCCTCGTAGGTCGAAGTTGTAGAGGGCCCGGCAGAGTGGGGGTGGCTGGGGCAGCTGCTTGATGACTTCCACGGAGCTGGCTGGGAAGACCCCGCTGACTCCATTGATTTCCCCCTGGTACCAGTTCTCATCCAGCTGTCTCCGGAGGAGGATGACATCTCCCTTATTAAACCTTAGGTCACCAGGATTCTGCCCTCGGTAGTTACATAAGGCCTTTGCTCGAGGCACCTGCAGGGGCACAGACCAATGAAACATGTACTTGACTTAGAGGCTGGAGGGACAGACGGGATCACACTGATAACTAATTATGGAGCACTTCCTCTGTGCTAAGTGCTGTGTGTAGTAGATCTTGTCTAACCTTTGAGATAGACGCTCTTACTATCCCCATTTCTAAGACAGGGTGACCGAGGCACAGAGTGGTTGAGTAACTGGCCAAAGGTAACCCAGCTGGGAAATGGCAGATGTGGGATTTCAACTCACACTAACTGATTTTAGAGCCCCTGTTGTTAATCAGTAAGCAGGGAATGGCATTTTGAACTTGCCTCTGCAACTAAGTGCATTTGAGTGAATCGGTGACTCTGGGACTTGAATAATGATTGTGAATTCTGGCTCCACTTCTTTCCTCTTATGTGACCATGGTCAAGGTAATTCATCTTCCTTAAACCATACTCATTTATAAAATGGGGCGATCACAGAACACCCACCTCGTTAGGGTAGTTGTGAGGACTAAGTATTATACTGCATTTTGCGTATTGCTTGGTATAGAGTCTGTGCTCAATACGCGACACTTACAATCATCATCTGTAGTGTGTCGGGCTAATGATAGGAGTTCTAGCTACTCCTCAGTGTTGGCAGGAAGAAAATTGAGGTGAAAACCCCCTGAAAACAGAAAGTGCTGTGTGAGAGTGATGCAATACACTTACTCTTCAGCCTTCTCTAGACAGTGTAAACCTCATGTGTGTTTGGATCATTAGGAAGCACAGCCGAGACAAAGAAACAGTCAGAAATCCATCATTACTTTAAAAAAATCAGCTAAAGAATCATCACTTGTCAAATCAGTTGTCTGTCTAAATAATTATTTCCATCAAATGCATTTCTTTTCCCTAACTGGAACTGATTCCTTCACAGAGAAATGGCCTCATTCTGGTCTTGTGTGAAGTCAGTTTGTCAAATGGAAAGTTGTAATAACTTAGGTTTTATAGAAGGCCCTTCTGTGTCACCTGAGATTGTATTTTGTGCTTTCTTCAGCCATGGGGTGAAGTAGTCCCCTCTCCTGGGGACAAGTCTTGCTATTCCTAAGGGGGTGTAAGAAGGCATTAAATCAGTTCTTCAAGGAACTTCTAAGTCTGCAATGTTCATCTGAAGAGGACTTTCCAGCAGCTTAGGGGTAGAGATGAAATCTGATCAGTGTTATATTGCTGATGGGATCATGGGGCAGGGTTTATCTGCTGGTCCCTGGATACAAAGAGGAGAGCCCAGGGAGTCAGAAAACCACGGAACACAGCTCCTCCTTGGGACACTGGTGGACAAATGAGCAAAGATGTATGTTCTAGAGGTTTAGCACGATGTTGTGGATAAGTGGACTTGGTGGAATAAGTTATGACACACCCATACAATGGAAAACCCTGCAGCCATTCAAATTGATGATGCTCATCTATAATTAATAACACTGAGAGTTACTCATGCTGTTAAGTGTAATAGAAGAGGTTAAAGGCAGTTAAGTAGACTAGGCTTTCTTTGTAAATATACACACAGATGTATATTTTTTCAATCTGGGGAAAATGCTAGATGGCTTTACACCAACATTTTAAGAGTGGTTATTTCTAAGTGGTGAGATTTTTGAATATTTAAAAAAAATTGTCTCCCTAAGTCCTTTGCAATTCTACAATTTTCTATTAAAATTGGGTAGTAAAAAGAAAATGAATACTGATGGACATTTAAGTTGTTTCCATGTCTTGGCTATTGTAAATAGTGCTGCTTTGAACATGGAGGTACACGTCCAAACCTCTTTTTAAATGTTTGTTTCTCATTTGAATTTGGGTTTTGGTGACTCTTCATATACTCTGCACATCTTTCTATTGGGATGTTTGCATTTGTTAGTAACAGACCAGTGTATGTTGTGGATCTGAAATTAAAAAAAAAAAAGAAAATGAATGAAGCTGCGGGATGAAAAGTAAAGGATATGGGAGGAATTTAGGAAGAAAATCAACCAAGCTGAGTAGGTAAACAAACCACACAACCATCTTTTGGAGACGATGGTCCCTTACCTGAGAAGTAAGCAAGTAGAAGCAGAATGAGAGTAGAGGATTTCTAGCAAATGATCTGATCTGTTAGACACCTTAGATGTATCAGGAAATAATAGTTGGCCCTCCCTATTCCTTCTCCCAGTTTTGCGCTGACATAAATCACATTTTTCTGGGTACCTGAGTACCTGGCACACACTGGTCCCATTTTCTAGCCTCCCTGGCTGCTACATCTGAGAGAAGCTATATCCAATGGGATATAAGCAACTTTTAGGAAATGTTTTTCCTGAGATAAACTGATTTTTTTTTTCTTTTCCTTCATTTGGCTATGTGGAATGCAGATGTGATTGTTGGAACTCTAGCTGCCACCTTGAACAATGAGGATGAGGGTCACAATTAAAAAGGGGAGAAAGTAGTCTGGGTTGCAGAGCTGCCAGGCAAATCCTAAACTACTTTACTTCCAGACTTTTGTCTGAAAGTTCAATAAACTTCCATCTTGCTTAATACACTGATAATTTGGATTCATAAAAGGAAAAGGAAAGGAAGAATGAAAAAATTAGGGGAAAAAAGACTTGAAGCCCCCTTGCCTATGCATAATAATGATAGTATCAATAGCTAATATTTATTGAGTGCTTCTTCCTATGTGCTAAGTACTTTGCTAAGCACTTCATAATATATTTTATTTAATTCTCACAACAACCTCTGATTAGAAAACAGGAGATTGGAGAGGTTAAACAGTTGCCCAAGTTCACAAAACTAGAAAGTTGTGTATCTTAGGATTTGAGCTCAACTCTGTGTCCCCAAGCCCAGGCTCTTAACCACTCAACAAGTGTTTCTCAAAATAAAGTCTGTGGTTTATCTACATTGAAATCTTGAGATGTTAAAAATTGCAGATTCCTGGACCCAATCCCTGACCTCTTTGACCAGAACCTCATAGCGGGCAATGAAAGTAGCTGCATTTTTATCAAGCTCTCCCACCCATCCAAGTTTGATGCCCCTGCTCTGAGTTATATCTTATTCTAACTAAAATGGGAGCAGTGGAGTTTTGATGTAGGTTTCATAAAAGGCTAGGCTGCTTTTTCCCTTTCGTTTCTGGAAGACATTCCCGTTCAAGTGGCTTACGTATTTTAGTGACCACTGAGCAAGCATATTAAACTAAAACAGCACAAAGTGCTTAAATCTCTTTGAAGAGGCATGCACTTAGAAACCCTGAGATAGCACTCATTGCTTGGCCATCTTCATCTTTCCTCAGTCTCCCCTCTCAGTATGGTAGGTAAGTATCGTGGAAGTGAATCATAAATTCTACTTTTAACATGAAGACTCTCTTCATCACCTTTATTCTCCCCCATTATACATTCAGTTCTACATTTACACGTATAGGAAACATTGGCTTCCATGCTATAAAGTGGGTGGGGATGGGGGAGGGAAGGAGAGAGAAAGAATCTGAAGAGGGGAACTGTGGTTCTGGCAAGCCATCGAAATGCGTCTTACTACACGACTGCATTTTCTATGTACTGTCTTCATTAAAATGATCTCAATACCCTGTGAAGTAGGTGGGTCATCCCATTTTATCAATGAAGAAACAGAAGTTTGGAGATGTTCAATGTTACCGGGCAAGGTCATGCAGCCTGGAGACAGACTTCCATTCATTTGACCTCAAAATCCAGACGCATCTACCACCCTCATTCTCTTTCATGCCACTGAAATCACCTAGTATGTTTTTCCATCATAAAACTCATTTGGAGTGCTGTTTTATAATCAAAATCTAAATACAGTGTGAATGTAATTTGCTTGCTGCTGGCTGCATTAGCATGAATTATTGAACTCCAGAGCCCTCACAGACAAGTTAAGCACTTGGAAGCCGGTTGATTCTACCCAGTGGTTAGATTTTCAAGGGAATCTCTCCAGGTTCTCTCAAAGGTAAAGGACTCCAAGTTCCACACCCACCATTACCCGTTGTATTGATGGAAACAGCCTTTACTACCCACAGTTGTCTTCTGTCTCTATAGGGGCCAGCAGGGGGAGGGGGGGATGAGGATAAAGTGGGTGTGGAGGTCGCATAGCCAGGTCATTACCAAACTCTTTCCTGGTGTTTTTCAGAAAGCCAGATAATCCGATGGGGGCTTGTGTCCGTGCCTAAAAATCTTTCCTTTTCTGAGATTCAGAAGGCTTAAAACTTCTATGCTTCTGGCATTTGTGTATTGATTTGTCACCTCAGTGGGATCTGAAAGCCACGAGGGCCATGCTTTTGATGGAAGGATAAAGCACAGAACCCAGAAAGAAGGGAACAGGGCATGCAGTGACAGTAGTAGTGAAATTAGGTGGTAGTAGTTCGTGTTTTATTAGTGAAACCTCAGGCATCCCTTGCCTGAGGAGCCACCTGTTTGCTCTCCATCTTCTCATGGGCATGTCATTCATTCTGGTCACACCAGGCACAGACAAGGATGTGGCCCAGGCTTTACTCCAAGCAGCAAGTGGACCCAAGTTTGGCTCGGCAACAGTTCAAGTTATATAACTGAGCAAGACCCTGTGGGGGCCTTTCTGGGGACAGGACCTGCCATCCACGCTATAGATAATATTCTGAGCTGTATCCTTGAGTTGTTTTACCCTCACCATGTGGAAAAAGTTAACTGCATGCACATACATGCAGACCCCAGACCAGTTCAAACCAAAAGGTTGATGATGTGAACTCCCAAAATGCCACCCAGTTAGTTACCTTTCTACTAACCCATCAGAAAAATATCCATGAGCTGATCAGGCACCCTGCAACCCTCTCCCTCACCCTTCCCTGAAATCCATTAGAGAGTTCAGGTCTTTTGAGCATTAGCTGCCCATACTCCTCGTTTGGCCTTGTAATAAATGCTGCCCTATCCTGCACTACAACCTACTGTCAGTAGATTGCTTTACTCCAAGCAGGCAAGCAGAGCCATGTTTGGCTCGGTTCAAGTGCCCAAATCCTCCTGGGATAGTGCTTGGTACAAAGCA